GGTTTGGGGCGTTTTTATTTTCAACATTTGAGATCAGTCGGATCTCATGAATATAAAAATCTAATTATTTTAAAATATAATAAGCAAATGCCCATGAAAAAGGAAAAACACATCTCAATGGGACGTCTTCACATAAAGTCTCAGGAGGCCAACGAATAACACAACTTTTATCTAATAATCCTAGACTGTGTTTTCACTTTGCTATAAGAAACTACATTATACTTATTTAGAATTTATATAAAGTCTTTTACATAAATCTTTACATTCTGGAGGTTTTTTACTCTCAGACAATTAAAACTAGTGCAAGAAGATCAATTAGGACAAAAAAAAAACATTTTTTATTCGTCTGTTCTGACTGGATCAGTAAATTTGAACAGATAAAATTTTTATCACATCTACACATCTGATCGATGTAAAATATGTATTACGATAAAGCGGAGTTATGGGATGCTGCTGTGAAAAATGAGGGTTCTTCAGGAATAATCTTTAAACTAAGGATATAATCTGGATTATGCCCCCTGCTGGCCATCCAGAGACATACACTTTTTAATATTTTTCACCACCACACGCAGACAATATTTTACTTTTGAATGTGGAGGCCAGTTATTTTGTTCCTCCACCTGTAGGGGGTGAAAATGAGCTGATTGTTGTTTTCGTGATTCGATTGTTTATGTCTGAACTCTCCCACCTAATCTACTTCAAAAGTGTTGTAAGAAGTTTTAAAATGATGCTGTTTGTTGGGAGAAGAACGGATCGGATTCAGGTTTCGTTTTCCATAAATCCCACCATCGGTGATGGACGGTGTAGACTACCTCCTGGTCGTCTTCCTGTTCTGACTTCTCTTCCTCCAGCAGCTGAGACAAAACTGACTTGGAGACATCTTTTGTCTCTTGCCGCCAGTTCTTCAGTCTTCTTTCCTTTTTGTCACACAAGTCTTTGCGTTTCCTCTAAATCGACGGTTCAGTCCGCGTCTGTGGTCCAGGCGTCATGGCCATTGGTTCCTATTTGTTCTCTGTCAGGCAGGTGGTCCCGTTGGGCACCGAGGAGAATGGGAAGCCCCCGTTACTGACGACTGGATGACCGTCAATCTGCGAGAAAACAAAAGTAGTTTAGAGGCTTAAAAACCAAACCGACCCACAGGGAGGCAGAGGAGCGTAAACTCTCTTAACACCTTTGCGTTTTTACCCGTGTCTCTTTACCAAAGTGTAGAAACTGCTGAGGCTGCAGCAGGAAACCGTTGGACTTCAGACCAGCGTCCAACAGGCAGGACGGCGCCACCTCTTTGGGTTTTGGCAAGGCTGTAACAGATCCTCCTCCAGGATGAGCCTGGTAGAAGCAGGAGGTCTTGGAGGGGATCTGACAGCTGGCCGAACTGTGCTCAACCCCGTTGTGAAGCACAGCTGTGGGGCCATTCCTGAACATTAAGTCCTGCTGCTCAGGGAAAGTCTCCGGAGTCCTGAATGTGAGTCTGCTGCTGGCTGGGTCGACGGGGCCAGCTTGAAATCCCGGTACCTGGTTGAAGGGGGCACCAAGGACCAGCTGCTGTGGCTGACCGGTCTGAACCGAGGCGGCCATGTGGCTGTAGGAAGAATCTGCAGGAAAACTTGGTCTTGAGGAGAACGTTTCCACAAAGCTGTTGGCTTGGTTTGGAGCAGAAGCTGAGGTGTTCCACTGGTTGGGCTGATAGATGAACACTGGATTCAACAGATCTTCAGGACTTTGGCCCTGGATGGGGAGTCCCATCTGAGGAGGCCTCTGATTGGTGGAAAGCTGACCAGCTGAGGCCTGACCAAGGCTGGTGTCTTTTGGACTCATTTTGAAAGTCATGGTCTGGTTCTGTGCTTGGCGGCATGAAGGGTTACAGGTCACCGGAGCGGAGATGTTTCCAGAAATGCCCAGCTGAAGAGAAGGAGCCAGAAAATTTAACCCAGAAGAGCTCATCTGAGGAAAGTCCATGTGGCTCAGCTTCATCGTTCCCTGGAGAAGAGGCAGCTGTTCCGCCGTCATCTTCCCTCCGTTGGGCATCAACTGGTTCTGGGACAGACACGGCCAGCCCAAGTTATGCTGCCCAGCTTGATTGGGAGTCTGGTTTGGAAGGTCTACGTTTGGGATGCAGGGAGAGATGTGATCCACGGGATCAAGTGGAACGAGTCCACCCTCCATCTTGAGCTGCTCCTCCACGTAGGACAGGATGTCGTTGCTGAGGATGTCGTTCAGGTCTTTGTTGAACTCTCCAGTTGGGAAGTCCAACCCCGCCAGGGAATCCTCCCAGCTCTTCAGCTCGTCAGGTCCCACATCCACCGCTTCTATTAAGTCGGTGTTCCCAAAGATCTGCTCCAGGGATGAGACCATTTCCTGAAAAATGGGGTCCATCTGTAGCAGAGATCTGCCGACAGTGGGATTGGGTGTGGCATCTCTGGGGATGCTGACGGTGGCGTGAGTATCTTGGAACGCCACGTCGCTCAGGGAGCCGATGTTGTTGGGAGCGCCGTGTTCGCAGTAGGCGGACTGGTCCTGGCTCAGCAGGCAGCCCAGTAAGGAGTTCGGGCTGACCGAGTTGTCGTCGAGCTTCCTCTGCTTGGGGGCGGAGCACGGATCAGGGACGTCGAGGCGTGGCACCTGATCGTACAGCATGGCCTCTCCGGTGGCGAAGCTGAACGGAAGCTGCAGCTGTCGCAGGCGGAGCTGCTCCTCCCCTTCCTCGTTTCTGCAGAGGACAACGAGCTGTTTCAGAATCAGCTGATCGCCCGTTTACCTCAACTCAACGGAGAACCTCGAACACTCACGTCAGAGCCCTCTGCCGGGCCACGATGAACTCTGGTCGGCCGTCTTTAAACACCAGCCTGGCGTTGGCCTGGACCCAGACCCACCTCCGGTCTTTGGTCAGGAGCCTGAAGAAGGTGAAACCGCTTTCTCCAGTTTTAATCACTGAGTGTGAAAACACACGAGTCAGATTAATGTTCAGCTTTTTATTTTATTAGTCAACAAAATCATGAAATGTTTCAGAAAACGGATTTAAAAACCACGTTTTCTCAGAAATATATTTATTTTCCATATTTAGTGTTTCTATGGATATTTACGTGTTCTCATTTATCATTGGAATATGAAAAACAAACCATATTTAAATAATAATGATGATTCATTTAAAATAACAATAACGAGTGAATAAATTGAGCCGTACTTCTGATGTGCTTGTCGGCGCAGTACATCATGTCAGCGGCGTGGATGAAGCTGTAGCCGGAACCTTTCATGCAGATCTCAACCTCGTTGTAACCCAGAACAATCTTCCCTCTGGAAACAAAAGCAAGAAATTAAAGGTTTCCGCCTCATCTGATTTACTGATCTAGTCTCATCTACTCTACCTGCTGTCGATGCCTGTAGGTGTGAAGTCCAGCTTGTGTTTGGTCTGAAATAACAGAGTCTTGGTACGAATCTCCAGGATGGATGGCTGCTGCAGTGGAGTGGCAATGGTGAACAGAGCGAGCTGAGGAGGAATCAACTTCCCGTCTTCCGACACTCGGTTCTGACCGTGCAGGAACTTCAGGCGACCGTGAAAGTTCAGGGTCTGGCGAGAAACACCAACTTTGAACAATCTGAATTTTTAACAGGATCCTCTAGGGGGCAGCAGTGAGAGGAAGGGAACGTTACCAAGAAGCCAGAGGAATTGTCAAGGAGGCAGCGGAAACGACAGCAGAAGTTTCTCTCCAGGAAGGACGAGTTTTCTGGAGGAATAACCTGCAGGTCATAGGTCACCACGTTGCTGCTGACCTCAGAGCTGTTCTGCTCACCTGCAAGAACCCGGAATAAAACATCAGTAACAAATAGTAGCAAATAAAATAAAACAGATAGTAAAAAAACTCTAAGGCAACAAGCAACAGATAAATGCTGTGTATGTATGTGTGTGTGTGTGTGTGTGTGTGTGTGTGTGCGTGCGTGTGGTTATATAAGTGTGTGCTATTACAGGTGTGTTTTACAGGTGTGTGTGTTATAGGTGTGTTTCGTACAGGGTTTTACAGGTGTGTCGTTTAGCAGGTGTGCATCATACAGGTGTGTGCTGTTACAAGTCTGTGTTGTTACGTGTGTGTTGTTACAGGTGTGTCGTTTAGCAGGTGTGTGTTGTTACATGTGTGTTGCTTAGCAGGTGTGTGTTGTTACAGGTGTGTGGTTTAGCAGGTGTGTGTTGTTACATGTGTGTTGCTTAGCAGGTGTGTGTTGTTACAGGTGTGTTGCTTAGCAGGTGTGTGTTGTTACAGGTGTGTTGCTTAGCAGGTGTGTGTTGTTACAGGTGTGTCGTTTAGCAGGTGTGTGTTGTTACAGGTGTGTCGTTTAGCAGGTGTGTGTTGTTACATGTGTGTTGCTTAGCAGGTGTGTGTTGTTACAGGTGTGTGGTTTAGCAGGTGTGTGTTGTTACATGTGTGTTGCTTAGCAGGTGTGTGTTGTTACAGGTGTGTTGCTTAGCAGGTGTGTGTTGTTACAGGTGTGTTGCTTAGCAGGTGTGTGTTGTTACAGGTGTGTGGTTTAGCAGGTGTGTGTTGTTACAGGTGTGTTGCTTAGCAGGTGTGTGTTGTTACAGGTGTGTGGTTTAGCAGGTGTGTGTCATACAGGTGTGTGCTGTTACATGTGTGTGTTGTTACAGGTTTGTGGTTTAGCAGGTGTGTGTTGTTACAGGTGTGTTGCTTAGCAGGTGTGTGTTGTTACAGGTGTGTGGTTTAGCAGGTGTGTGTCATACAGGTGTGTGCTGTTACATGTGTGTGGTTTAGCAGGTGTGTGTTGTTACATGTGTGTGGTTTAGCAGGTGTGTGTTGTTACATGTGTGTGGTTTAGCAGGTGTGTGTTGTTACAGGTGTGTTGCTTAGCAGGTGTGTGATGTTACAGGTGTGTGGTTTAGCAGGTGTGTGTTGTTACAGGTGTGTGGTTTAGCAGGTGTGTGTCATACAGGTGTGTGTTGTTACATGTGTGTGGTTTAGCAGGTGTGTGTTGTTACATGTGTGTGGTTTAGCAGGTGTGTGTTGTTACATGTGTGTGGTTTAGCAGGTGTGTGTTGTTACAGGTGTGTGGTTTAGCAGGTGTGTGTCATACAGGTGTGTGCTGTTACATGAGTGTGATGCTACAGGTGTGTGGTTTAGCAGGTGTGTGTCATACAGGTGTGTGCTGTTACATGTGTGTGTTGTTACATGTGTGTGGTTTAGCAGGCATGTGTCATACAGGTGTGTTGCGTACTGTTGTGCAGCTTTACCTGGACTCTCAGACCCGTCTGTATCTGGGTTCAAGGAGAAGTGAAGCTGTCGTCTGAAGATAGCTCGATCATCTGCATGGATCAACTCAAACACACTCTGGTGGACGACGTCCGACTGACACACAAACACACAAAAGTCAAAGTTCAGTCAGATCTTCTAAAATGAGTGTGCGTCTGGTAGATCCTGTATGTGGGTTGTGTTTTAAATAAAACAACATGTTGGTGAATTAACGAGAGCAGACAGTTTAAAAACGGCCCGTGTTGCTTTAATCATCTAAATTTAGAAACAAATTCCTTCTACAAACATCTGAACGGCTTTTTAAAAGCACTCTAACTTAATCACCACAACAGCTGCTGATGTCTGCAGCCTCCAGAACCAGACTTTCTGGGTCAGTTTCTGGGCTCGTCCGGAAAACACCATGTTGTGTGTGTGTGTGTGTGTGTGTGTGTGTGTGTGTGTGTGTGTGTGTGTGTGTGTGTGAGAGAGAGAGCATGCTACATGAATACCCCCAGGAGATGTTTTTCTCCAGACAACTGGATAAAACGGATGTGTTTATGAGTCAAGAGTTCAGAGCCAACATAAAAGCACAACTCGGTCTGTGTCACACTCTTACTCTCGTTTTTAGGTTTCTGCTGCCAGTCTAATGATTGGCTGCAGGAGCTCATGATGTTTGAGAAGAAGGTAAGCGGGACATCAGCGCAGAAGACTAGAACAGCTGATCAGATCGCTCTGGTTCGGTTATCCAGACAATAAAATCAGTGTGTTTCCTCTGAAGGACGCTGAAACAGCAGGCACAGTTTGGAATCTACATGACGAAGATGTTTCTGTTTCATATCTCACGAGTCGTCTCTTTGGATTTTACCTGGTGGAAGCCCAGGAAGTCCTGGATGGTGGGAGACGTGTAGAAGACATAACCTTCAGCCGTCACCACCAACACAAATCCGTTCAGCGCCTGTGGAGTGGAGGAAATGGATTGTTGCCCTCTGAACTCATTAGTGTCTGATCTTTCACCTGAAACCAACACTCACCTGAAGCAGAAGGTCTCCCTCAGAAAAGCTGACTCCATCGATGGAGGCCACCTTAGAGGAAGAGGAGAGTGCTGAAGAAGTCTGGACATTTCCACCAAACATCCGGCTCTGGTCGCCGGTCCAGCTGTTGCCACTCTGACTGGACTTCATGACAGCTGGAGGAGAAGAAGAAGAAGAAAAGGAAACCAAACATCACATCTACGTCGGATTCACAGAGTTAGCACAAACTGAGAGGAGGAAGAGGACGCAATTGTTTCAGGTGATCAAACAGTTATTCTGAAACATGTGGAAAACACAAAGAGCATCACATCTCATGTCTGTCTGCATGTGGGCGGAGCTTCATAATGCTTCCTGTCATCTTACAACACCGCTCTGAGGCTCTTCCTCTTCCTCTCGTCACTGAGGAGGAGCTGAAAAACGGGAGGAAAAACACGCGGAGCACCATAACATATCCTGAGAGGAAGCAGCTGGTTTCAGCAGAGGAAACCAGTTCAGACTGATGCTGGTAAACGTCTGAATTGAGACGGCACCACACTAATTTTTATAGTTAAAAATGCCTGTTTTGTTTTGATTTTTGTGTTCAAAACTAGAACTGGAACTTTGAGCTGCAGTTTGAGATGCTTGGCAGCCATTCTGAGCCATTCCTGGCTCTGAAACCCAATCCTTGGAGGCTCCTGCGGCCCCGGCCTTGTAAAAGGCCAAACGAGGATAGCAGGCGGAGCTGCTAAATTACCCGTTGGCCTCTGTGCTTCCCGCTGCGGAGGGAACGCAGCGAGGGGGCGGCCTCCGAGGAACACGAGACCCGTGTGAAGTGGTCGCTGGAGACGCTCGATCGATCTGGTTCTCTGATCTCAATAAGCAGAGTTTGGTTCCTGGAGGAGATCTCCAGGAGGAGCAGCGGTGGAAGCTTGTAGTGTGTAATTTAAAGAGAAACTCTCAGATTATAACTCCTGTAAAAAGCACCGCGCAGCAGTTTTGGAAAACCAACACGTCGTCACACTGATTACATGTGACAACGTTTTAAAAAAGACCTTCAGACATCATTTAACGTGTTTGGATTTGGTTAAGCCTAAAAATTAAACGAAAATTCATCCAAACATGGAGGGAGATAAAGCAAGTTCTGTTTAGAATTATTTTGATTTGCTTCTCAAATCTCCTGAAAGTATGAATATGAACCAAACATCTGGGCGGATTTTTCCCCAGCATGACAGAAACCATCTGAATGAAATGTGGCACAAAGCCCTGTAATCAGGAACGGATGAAAAACCAAGCAGGCTAACAGTTTCCATTTGTTTCCAGTCTTTATGCTAAGCTAAGCTAACCAGGGGTCCAGATGGAGAAAAAAGAAAAGTAAATTCATTCCAAACCACGCCTAGAGTGGGATAATTTAGTGGAAGGAAATCAGAGCTCCAGCAATCCCAAACAATCGGATTTTCTTCCACATGAAAACTAAGATTGAAAAATTTGGCTGAAATCTGCAAGTGAGGGAGTTCTCTGCTTTTGTTTTGCTTTGAGGAACAAATGTTCAATCTGTGGCAGGAAAATGGAGCGATCGGCCAACAATAGAAACTCACATTTAAGCACGAAGGGACACATAATTTGAGTTTTGGAAGAAGCCTGGAGAGCGGAGAAAGAGGAGGTCGGACGTCCTCCTGACGATTTACTCCTCTGCATGTTTCATTTACTCTGCTTAATGAAGCTGCTCGTTCCCACAGATCCACCCAGAGCCACCCACACACCCTCAGAATCCCTCAGCTCTGCGCTGAAATCTCACATCGTGCCTCATCGTTAATCCCATCACGCTCATTTACAATCAAACGTTTTCTGACACATCACAACAGTCGGCTGTAGAAAAATGTTTAATGTAGATAAAAATCACATCCTGTAGGCATCAATGGGATTCTGGTCACTAGTAGCTCCGCCCCCTGTGGAGCTCGGGTAGACTTCACAGGTTTAAACAGGAAGTCGGACTTGACGTGACTGAACTGGGGGTTTGATCTCGTTGACGGTTTTGACACAATCCCAGTTTGAGCTGGAGGATTCTGGGAGATTCTTTAACACGGAACTTCTACCTGCCAACTGGTGATGTCACTCCAACCTCCACATTTAAGAAGCTGAATGAAGAGCTTTCACACATCTACTCGGCTTAAACGTGGATTTAAAAAATGTTTCTTCTTTCTGATAAAAAGGGGAAATTTTGTTTTAAAAGGCATCAAAACTAAATGCAGAATTTTATAAAAATCATGGAAGAAAACAGAAGGTAAAAATAAAAGGAAAGTAAAAGTAAAGCCAGGCTAAAAGTTTTCCTTTGGTTCCAGTCTTTATGCTAAACTAAGCTAAACTGAACAGAATCAGAACATTTCCAGGTTTGACCCGTCGTTGGCGATGAAACCCGAAGACCGCCTGTAATTTGACAAACATTTGCTCACGGCGCCGGAACGGCTGACATAATATCTCAGCTGATGATGTCACACAGACGCGACACCGAGAAATGCTCAGGAACCAAATGAGCTTCGGCTCAAACTGAAACTCAACTGGATTAAACCTGTTAAATGAATGAAAATGTTTTTTAAAAGTCATTAAAGGACAAATAACATAATAAATATTGTGTGTTTTGCTGGTTTCACTGTTGCCTCACAGACAGTGTTGTCAACTCAGCGACTTTGTTAGCCTAGTGAACTAGACCAAATTCTTGCTTTGCAAAGTTTGGTCTAGGCACGCTCCATTGGAACCTCCGCAGCTCCTACCAGGACTCTGGCTGGCCAATCACAGCTCTCTAGAGGGGTTTCAAACACATAAAGAGCTGTGATTGGTCCATAATGGTGGGCCAATCATAGTGCTCTATCTGCTTAGTGAACAAATCACAGAGCTTTATCCGCTTTGTGGGCCAATCAGGGCACTCTATATGCCTGGTGGGTGGGATGATGCAACAGAGTGAAACAAGAGTATGTCACATTCATTGTCCAGTGGAATGTGGAGATCATTTGAAAGACAACGGTAGAACCCGCCCCACAACCGAGAGCCGTCAATGGAGCGTGGCCAGACTAAATAATACATTTATTTAGTCTGGCTTGCCAGGCTATGACTTTGTCGCTGTTCCTAACGACTTTTTGACCCCCCCTCAACGACTTTTTTTTCCAAAAAGCGCCTAGCGACAAACCTAGCGACATTTCTCAGGACCCGTTGCTACTTTCTGTAGAACTTTCTTGTAGATATTTCCTACAGATTAGCAACAAAGAAACCATTTGCACTCTGAACCGTTCTTCCAGGAGAAAGGAAAGAGAACGATAATCTGCACATGTGCACGAGGAATGACCAATCATAAACACTTTTCGGCCGGGCTGATTCGCCAAAGACAAAAGTACAGTTGCAGAGCTGGAGACCGCCGACGTCTGCTGCTGCTGCAGGCTCACGCTCCTACTAGACGGCGCAGGCATCAACCTGCGATCTCTGGTTCTGCAGCCGTCAGACACTTTGGCTTTTCCTGCATTTGGCAAATAAAGTCATCGGGAGTTTCAACTACCGTCCCGTTTACACACGCAGCTCTGTGGCTCATCTGGATTTCCTTCAGTGACACAGGGATGGTTATACCATGAGACACCCGCTCCCTTCTGCTCGGTGCACCGTTATTATCACGATGTAGAGAATACACAACAGAGAAGTTGAGAAACTATGAGGTGTAAAAAAAACAGCTTTTTAGGAAAATGTCTGTGAGAATGAGGAGAGCAGGAGGTCTGAGTTATATCCTACAACAGAATATCTGTCTTAAAGTCACTTTATTGATACTTTTGGAATTTATTGTACATATCAAAGCAATTTGGGCCATTTTAATCATACTAATGAATAACTTTAACACATAACATAGTTTTTATTTTCCTCCCTTTTAGTCATATATATATATCTTTTACATGCTATGGGGAAAATGAATGCCAATGTGGCGGGATGACATCATCAATATGTAAATCAGCACGTGACGTCATCTGGCGACATCTAGCGACTTTTGGGGGGGACTTTAACTACTTTCAGTCAAAAACAGTTGGCAACACTGCTCACAGACTGTGTCTGGGCACGCTCAGAGCCGAGGGCCTCCAACCCTCTGTAGCTGCAGGCGATCTGGTTTAGTGGCTCCGACTCGACGACAACAACCAGATATTTTGGTCTCAGAGAGAAATAAGACTGGTGAAGACGAGGAGGACGAAACAAAACAACACGAGTGAAGAAAGGAAAAAGATTCAAAGAAATAAATCTAAATCTTAAAAAAGTAGCAGGTGTCCTGTGGGAGTCCTCCCTACACCTTCTGCTCTGATATTTAACCAGAACCAGCCGACTCCTACTGACTTCCAGGAGAAACCTCCTCCTCCTTGATGAAGAGGAGGCCCTGCGGCGCTCTCCAGCTCCATATGGAGACTACCGTCTGATCAAAAAGGCTTCTGGTGCTGGGAAGTTTCTCATGTTGGACCATACTCTGGTCCGTTGGGTCCAAATGCGCTCTGGAAGTTCTGGTTTAGAGAAGGAATGTTCTTTGCTAACTGATCTAATGGTTCTGATTCATCATAACCCCCTGAAACCAAAGCTGCACATCAGTAAAAGGTCTTAGGAACCAGAGAACATTGATGACATTTTTAAAACTGATTTTTTTTTACCCACTTGATAAAAACTTGGAAATCCTCACAACTAAAAAAACCAAAAGTACATTTAGAGATTTTGTGGGAAATAAACAAGACCTATTTGGTGGTAAAAGCAGATTTTTGATAATAGAAGTTTTCAGACTCGCCGTTAACCCTCTCAGGCTCAAAATGAGTTTTGATAAAAAGGACGAACAACTAAGTCCTTCAGGGGTACTTCTGAGTTAAAGATGCTCATGAAATACGTATGTGGAGTAACCAGGTAGGTTTTAACTGTTGCAAATCTGCAACGCCTGCCTCCAGAGGGTTAAACAACCTCCAGCTTGACTCATGTGTTTTTATTTAGCTGAAGTTGGAAGGAAAAGCTGGAGCTTTTCCTGCGTGGGGCTTTCTGAACTTGCTGAACCCTCCCTGGATGAAACGACTGGAGGCCTCTTCGTCTCGGTTTCTATCACACTCGCTCCTTCATCCCTCCTTCTCTCCGCCAGGCTCTCCTGAACTCTGCGGTTTTTCTCTCTGCTTTGAAACCA